AGAGAAGAGAGAAACACTGTTGTTGGGTACCACAGTCAGGCAAAGGCACACATCAGGGCAGTCTATGATGAATGTAAAGTGAATGAGTGATGAGTCAATGGATGAGTGTGAAATGAATGGGTGATGAGTCTATGGATGAGTGTAAAATGAATGGGTCCAACACCAGCATAAGCTCTCTCCCCACATTCAGCTTATGATGTTGAGAAGCAACAAGGCAAGCACTAAAAGTGGAGGTACAAGAGGACACGGATAGGAAGATGGTGGTTTTTAAAAGCAAGGGCTTTCTCTATTGCAGCACTTCCCTTTGGAAAATAAAACTCAAGGACTTCCTTTTAAATTTCCTCAAAGTGTTGACCAAATGTAAGCCAAGTAATAGCTGGCAGCAATGAAGAAACTGTTCTATTTCACACCATTTACAGCTGTGGTATTTTGTCCTCAAACCCAGTACTCACACCAGGCAGGATGATCTTCTCAAAAGCTTTGCTTATCATTTTCTTCCCCTATTATTCAAGAAACCAAGCACAGGAAAGATGTTATTGACATGCCTGAGATCTGTAGCAAGGCACAATCTGCTCTGAGAGAAGCGTTCTCACTGCTCACTGGTGCTAGGACAAGAAGTTATAAGCTTAAGTGACTGCAAGGGCGATTTGTGTTAGACATAAAGCCAGGCAGGCAGCAAAGGCATCACTGGAGGGCTTTGAGAGAAGGATAAAGTGATCCAGAGGAGACCTACAGCACCCGAGAGCCCATCCACAGCGGCAGAGCAGCCTGGCCTCTGCATGGGCACAGTCCTCTATGGAATTACCAGGGGGTGAGGCTGAAAACGGGTTAGGAAAAGAGCAGCAGCAAAGAGCCACCCCAGAACCCAGACTGCGCTGTGCAAAGCTTGTCTCCTCATTAACAGAAACAATTATAAGCTGCCATCAAGCATAATTACACTACACACAGTGTTAGATTCGTCACCCGGTTCCAGCCATTAATAAGGGAGCTCAGGCTGATGAGCACAGAGAACTTGCAGGCTGGTGTCCTTCATTTTTCAGCAGATCACTGATGAATCCCACAGTAGATCAGAAAAGCCATTTCTCGCCTAATGCAGTGTCAAGCGTGCACTACATCCTATACCACGAGCAGTTCCCATTAGCAAAGGCTGCTTCCTTCTCATTAGTGTGACTTGTGCTTTTCATCTTATCCCCATGTCTCCAGAGCAGCAGCCACATCAGCCTGCCTTGTAAAGCTCCAAAGGCCTTCACACAGACATTGCAGGGATGAGCCCCGTACAGACTGAAATCAGGTCTAGTGGAAGGGGTCCATGCCTATGGCAGGGGCATGCAACTGGGTGATACCCATAATTTAAATTAGAATGAATCACAGAATCATGGAATTATGGAATCCCAGGTTGGAAGGGACCTCAAGGATCATCTGCTCCAACCTGTCTAGGTAAAGCATGATCAAGACTAGACGGGCCAGGAGCCTGTACAGCTGAATCATTGCATCCTAGAGTGGTTTGGGTTGAAGGGACCTTAAAGCTCCTCCAGCTCCATCCCTTGCCACGGGCAGGGACCCCTTCCACTGGAGCAGCTTGCTCCAAGCCCCTGTGTCCAACCTGGCCTTGAGCACTGCCAGGGATGGGGCAGCCACAGCTTCTCTGGGCACCCTGTGCCAGCGCCTCAGCACCCTCACAGGGAAGAGCTTCTGCCTAAGAGCTCAGCTCAGTCTCCCCTCTGGCAGGTTCAAGCCATTCCCCTTGGCCTGTCCCTACAGGCCCTTGTCCCAAGCCCCTCTCCAGGTTTCCTGCAGCCCCTTTAGGCACTGGAGCTGCTCTAAGGTCTCCCCTTCAGGAGCCTTCTCTTCTCCAGGCTGCCCCAGCCCAGCTCTCTCAGCCTGGCTCCAGAGCAGAGCTGCTCCAGCCCTCACAGCATCCATTGGACTCACTCCAACAGCTCCACATCCCCCCTGAGCTGTGTTTTAAATGTTGTTTAAAACTCTTGCCCAAGCACTAGAAACTATTTCATCCCTAAAACTAAAGTCATTCCTGTGTAGGCAAGAGATGCAGCCACTAAACAATCACCTATTGGAACAAGTGCAGTGCCAGGATGCCCCGCATGGGCGATGCCAGTGTTGGAAGCAGAGCATCGCCCAGCACAACAGCAGCACTGAGCCAGCTCCCACCACTGCTGTCAGAAGTGGAGGGAAACAAATTGAGAAGGAAACTTCTCTCGAGCACAGATTTACGTTGCTGTCAAAGAAGAGTGGCTGACAGCTATTTCTGGAACCTGTCTCCATCATATTAATTCAACGTCTGGTTGAAGTTGTCTCATTTGCAGCAAATCTGGCTGGTAAATATTAACCTTGGGCTTTGTTGAAATTCTCCTTGCAGATATTACAAGGGATTGGATGGAAAAGATGAAGCAGAAAGAGACAACTTCACCGCAAATGTCAGGCAGATCCTCCCCATCGCTGTTTCATTTACACAAAAGCTATTGCAAGGCATCACAAAGTAAATGGCAGGAAGGGGCTACAGCTCCTGCCTGGTGAAATTAAGAGTAAAAAGACCTAAGTGCTGAGAAGCCTCCCAAAAACAAAATAGGGATGGGTAGGAGATCATCCACAGTGCAACAGGACTTCTCACTCGCCTGCTGCGCATCTGCTGGAAGCAGGTTTGAGTGTTAAGATCAGGGAAGCACAAGCCAGCATCTGGCTATAGATAGATATTAACCACAAAAATCAGCCCAAATGTATTTACCATGACAGAACCTCTCCTCTTATTTGAGAGGAGATGTGAAACAGATGCTGAAGCTGCTCGGTCCCCCCCCGGAGATGGCTGCATTTCAACCAGCCCCAAAATGATTCATCAGAAAGCCCTGGAAGCCTGGCAGGTACACTGGGGCTTCTTCAGAGGAGTGGTGCCATAGAGGAAGATGGACAGTGAAAAGGCTCAGCTTTCTTGCAGCAGTCATTAGCAGTGCTGTAAATCCTATTAGTCTTTTCTCATCTCCTGATTTCAGTGTGAGGATACAAATGTTCTCTCGGCGGCAGGATGATTTCAGCACCTAAATCACAGTTACGGGGACACCAGCTTTGTGATTTAGTTCCAACAGCTTCCCCAGGTCAGTGCAAATAAAGGAATAAAGCTCCTCCTTGCTGTGCACAAGCCACACATTGGCCCTAAGCACCAACCTGGATCCATTCTGGATCCGGCTCGCAGCCAGGCCCTGTAGGATCACTGGACATGGAGCCACCCAGCAGTCAATGGGGTGAACAAGCAACTGCTTTCAGACACCCCCACTGCAGGGGCAGCCAGAAAGTCCTTGGAGAAGACCAAAGGACAGGGGAGAGGGAAGCAGCACCAAAGGCAGCCTGGAGAACCACCAGGCATCCCTGGTACGGGGTTAGGCTCAACCCCTGCTTCCCAAAGCATCTGGCCTCTGAATAATGAGGTCCAACCCCTCATGGCCAGAAGAGCTGCAACAGGGATGGTGGCCAAGCAGTTTCACAGGCAAGGAGGAGCCAATGGCTTTGCACCATCCAAAGCCACCATCACCACCAGAGCACAGCCAGATTTGCTGCTTTGACACCCCCAAACTAACACCGCATTTACCTGCCCCCAACCCAACGGCTTTTGTCCTTGATGAATTTCCACAGCCCTCAATGCTTCCATCAGAAGCCTTTCAAAGCTCCTCACTTTGCTCTGTGCTGATGCAGGGCTCCAAAACCAAGCACACAACTTTCAACCCTCCAAAACTTATTTGACCAGGCATTAGACGCTGCTCCGCAGAGTGACTAATGACCTGCTTCCTGGGAAAGGGGGGGGACACTTCATTATAACCATTAAATGACTTCAAACATTTTCCCTTAGAGAATAGGAATTATTTAATCTCAACACGGAGAAACCTGAAACATTAGCAAAAGCCTGCTGGGACTCACTATGTAAATTCCCACTCCAAACAGATGGGGAAAGCATGGCGAGCTGCCACGCAGCCACTGAAGCAATGAGCAGTGCTGAGGTTTCAATCCCATAGTTTTCATGAGGTCGCCTTAAAGGAGGGCACCAAGCAAACAGGCGCTACCTGGAGCACTGGGAAAGGATTCCCACCTCCCGGAGGGAGGCAACAGCGCTGGCACAGCTTCAATCTGGAAAGCTTCAAGCAGCTCCTGAAGGGCAGACTTGGTCCCTTAGGGAAAGGTCGCTCTCCTGCGGTACCACACACCTCAAACACGGCGGAGCTGTGCCTGTTTGGGACTTATTTATAGCCATTTTCCTCTCCATCTGTTTTCTACCAGGTGACAAATTGTGGCTGCCCCATCCCTGGCAGTGTTCAAGGCCAGGTTGGACACAGGGGCTTGGAGCAAGCTGCTCCAGTGGAAGGGGTCCCTGCCCGTGGCAGGGGATGGAGCTGGATGAGCTTGAACACTGCCAGCAATGGGGCAGCCACCCCTCACAGTGCTTTGAGAGGCTCCCTCACACTGAGAGCAGCCAGGATCCCACACTCAGGGCTGATCCCATGCCTGGCTCTCACCTGCCTTTGAAAGTGAGATCAAAGTGGTCACAGCAGCAGGCTCATTAGAGGGAGACCTGTTAATGTAAAGGTTATATCCGCTTTTACAGCTGTCATTAAACGTAACCTCAAGAGCTATAAAGTCACTGAATTATTAAGTCGTGTGTAAAGCGTGACAAAGGGGATATTAATGTTCTAGATTAATTTTATAGCTACAGATAAAGCCATGGAAGATGCCTGACGGTACCCAGAGCTTTGGCACGCCTGCCCAGCCAACACCGTGCTGCAGAGCAGCTACCAGCAGCGCACCCCATTTACCCAATTGCCACCCTTCAAATCAAGGTCTGGCTGTTAGCTTGGGAGCTGCAATCAGCTAAAAGAATCATACTGCTGACAAAAGGCAATTCCACTTGTCTGAGCCGTGCTCCAGCACTGGAGCAGTCTGGCAGCGACACAGACTGACACAGAGAAAGGCTGCCAGAGGACACCGACGGCCACTGTTACCTCTGCATCCCCCGTCCTTCTCCTCAAAGCCAGGACCACACGTGCACTTCCCGATGGGGACCAGCCACTCGCCCTCGGCGCTGCAGTGCATCCGGGGGGGATTATCCACATCCACTTGGGCGTGAGCAACACAAGAGCCCTTCACTTCCACCAGAGTGGCAAACGCCGTCTCCGCCACCGTGTCCGGGAACACGGCCAGGTTCTGCACGGTCGCCAGGCACTTCTTGTAATAGACCCGCACGGAGACCAGCGCCACGCAGGCACCCACGTCCTGGAAGCCAAGGTGGAAGCCTCTCTTGCTCAGGTGCCCAATCTCCCTCAGCTCCGTGTTCAGCTTCATCTTCCGCTCACCCAGGTCCCCCTGTGTGAAGCTCTCATCGGCGGCGATGGTGTCAATCTTGGTGTGCTTGCTCTCATGGATGCTACGGCCCAGGTCGGAGTCGGACTCGACATAGTACAGATTGAACGTCTCCTTGCAGGTGCCCGTCACACCAGGGATGCTGTTGCAGTCCCGCAAGGTGAACTTCAGCTCGATGAAGATCCTCTGGCCATCGCGCCGGGCAATCCAGCCTGTCTGCAGCCAGTTGTTCTGGTTTGGCTCCATGACGTTGCAGACCTGGTACGTGCGTATGGGCTTGTAATGCTCATCCACCCCGCTGATTTCTTCCCACTGGGGAAAGAAGGCAAAGGGCTGTAAACAGCTCGTGAGCTGCCATGAGCAAGAGCCAGCTGCCCTGGCAGAAAAACACCCACCACCACAAGCCTCTCCCCACCTACAGCCCGTTATATCATAGGCAATACAAGCCTTCAGCCCACCAAAACCTCAAGCTGTAGGAGCACAGTGGTGCTGCTGGACCACCCAACACTTGGGCTCCTTGCAGAGGTACAAACATGGAGACACACCTAGAACAAGAGCACTGGCATCAGACCTCCTAAAAGGGGACACATCATCTGCTGAGAAGCCAGAGACTTTATCCCCTAGATGCTGTCCCTAGGAAGGACCATCTGCACAGCATAAAGCCAGATGGGTTGGGCCATCCAGAGAAGTCAAAGATGGCCAAGGAGATGTGACCCCAGTCACACCATTACAGGAGGACAAACATCTTTGTGACCAGAAGCAGCAGCTTCTCCATCAGGGTTAGTTTGAGGTGGAACAGGACAAACCCTCTGACTGCAAATGAAATGGTATTTCCCCAAAGTTCCCAGCAGAGATTCTGATCAGTGAAATGATGATTCCACCCTCACATCCTTAAGGATGACCTGGCAACCTCCCAAAGCAATTCTTTCTGGGTGTAAACTTATGCAAGATTGCCAAAACCACCCAAAATAGTATTTCTTCAGCAGACTAACAGCTGGCCAACACAGATGACTCCACCATCTAGCACTACTCCCTCTGAACACTTTGCTTCCATGCTGGAAAATGAACCCACAGCCACAGGCAACACAACTCCTGAGTTTCCCAACACGTTCTCCTGAACACGGTTACAGACGAACCCTGGACCTGACTCAAACCAACCCTACATGATGATGGGCTGATGATCCCACCCCAGGCACAGCCCTCCTGCAAGAGCCGAGCTGATCCTCCGGAGCTGGTGCTACAACACAAAGCTTTAACTTGCTGCTATTTATTTGCCTAGCACAGGAGTGTAAAATTCATTTGGAGGGGGCATTGCTCATTGAGCACACTGTTCCCATAACCCATGCTCTGCTCCTCAGTGTGCCTGGTGCTGACTAACACAACAGCTCATGCCCAGCTGCCCGTACGCCCCCAGCTCGAGGTGACCCCGTGGCCGTCAGCCCCCTCCACCAGCTCCACGTGAGCAGGATGCTCACGCTGCAGGACTTGCAATACCGAGCACCAAAGGCAGCCCCAGCTCTGCACTTACCCCGTTGGATGGGTGCGAGGTCCAGCCCAGCTCCGCTTGCGATTCCTTTGAATCCAGTAGGACAACTGCAGAGAGGGTGACACGTTAGAAAGCAAACTCAGTGACCCTGAAAATGCCAGTAAATATCCACCTGGGAAGCTCGGTGCTGTGCAGCCCTCCTGGCATGGGAGTCAGGTCCTGGAATATGGGGAGCAGCTCCCGCCACAGCTCCACCAGCATGAGCACGGAGCAGGACTCCCGCTGCAGAGCTAGAGGCTGCACTCTCAGCTATGCCATTAACACCCTGACCTAACGAGGCTGACATCCCGGGAAGGCTGCGCTCCTTCCCAAGGGACTCTGCAGGACAACCCCACTGACACCACTGCAGCGGTACCGTGCGTGTCCTGGAACTGGAATGCACCGGTGGCTGCTTTGAAACAGGAGTTTCCTCGGCAGACTACACCCTCTTCCCACGGAACCGCCGATTCCCCGGGCGCCAGAAGAGCGTTTCCCCATATTCACAGTTCCGGGGTTCCTCCACAGCCAGCAGCGGTCCCTGCCTGCGCGCTCTGCCGCGCCTCACCCCCGGTTCCAGCCGCCCGCTAATACCGGGCGCAGCCTCGCCCGTTTCACACGCGAGCGCTCCGGGACGGCTCCCGACCGGATCCAGCCCTGGAAGGAGCTCTCTTCTTCCCAGCGCCTCCGGTAACGGCGGGGACTCGAGTCCCCTCTCCTCGGGAGACCCACACACCCCGCCGGGACCCACCCGCCCCGTCCCGCTCCTCCTCTGCGGAGCCGCCGCCGCGCCGCGACCCGGCGGCATGGGAGCGGACCCGGCGGCACCGCAGCCGAGCCGCCACCGAACCGCACCGGCCTCTCCCGGCGGCTGCGGGCACCGCAACGCCCGAGCAGCGGCGGCGGCACCGAGCGGTACCGATGCCGGTACCGATGCCGGTGCCGGTGCCCGGTGCGGTGATGCCGGTGCGGTGATGGTGATGCCGGTGCCGGTCCCGTCTCACCCTGCTCGGCGGCGGCGCGGGGCAGCACCGGCAGCAGCAGCAGCACCGGCAGCGCCCGCGGGAAGCCGCCACGCGCCGTCGCCATGGCGCCGCCAACTCCGCGCGCCCCGCGCCACCGCCGCCGCCGCGCTCCGGACGCTGAGCCCCGCCCCTCCGGCCCCAGCACAGCCAATCACGGCCGACGGGGCGGGGCCGCTGCCGGAACGGCCAATCAGCGGGAAGGGGCGGGGTGGGCGCGGCGTTCACTCTGAAGCCTATTGATGGCACTGGCAGCCCGAGCTCCTACCTGGTGCGTCCGGTTGCAGGCTCCTGCCTGTAGATGAGGCCCCCAGTGCCGTGGTTCAGTGGTGGCCTTGGCAGTGCTGGTGTGAGGGTCGGACTGGGTGAGCTTAAAGGGCTTTTCCAACCCGGCTGGTTCTACAGCCCATGGAAGCTGAAGGATTGCTGGGGCACAGACAGCCCTTGCTGATGCTGGGACGTTGCAGCCTTGTGGTCACAACTATAACCATCACTGCTGTGTCCCCACTCCAAGGATGACCATTTGCTCCCTGCTGCTATTAACAGGCAGGCAGTGGCGAGTCAGAGCCTTGTTTCTGCACCATAGGACCCAGGAGAGCAGCAGGGCAGCTCTCAGTGATTCCCAGGAGTACCAGTTTTATGCCAAGCCCTCTGCTCTGCCTTTCTAGCTTCAGATTTGATTCTCCACTTCTTCTCCAGGTCCTCCAAGCCCAGAAGCTGCCTTAAAAGAGTAGCCAGAAAGAAGCCCCAGAGAAAGGCAGCACTGCAGTGGCCAGCACTGAATGGGGAGGATCCCGCAGGTCCCAGTGCTGCAGGAGATGAGCAGTGTCGTGTGTCTGCACAAACACACTCTATTTAAACACCTCAAAGCATTAGACCCCAAAGCTTGAATTCTGCGGTGCCTCACGCATGAGAAGCTTGCTGGAGCGGGCATCCCACTGAAGCCTGCTGCCAGTCAGGCTCAGATTTGCACATTGCATAATAAGATTAATTAGATATGGTGATTGCAGTTCATTTGCCTCATACCCCAGCTTCCAAGCTCTCTCTTCCTGAAGTCAGTTAGGACTACCCATGTGAAACCATATCTGAAAGTCCCTGCAGGACCAGGAACCATGAGCAACTCAGGTACCGGCTCAAAACCCTGAGCATGATGTTTCTTTAATCTGTTCCACAGGAATCTTGCCTTTCCAAGCATTTTATTAACACCTAAGGCATGTTTTCTTTTGAGACATTTGGGAGGCATTGCATCCGAGTATAAAGCTGTTGGAAACCTGGGGCTCTCAGCCAGCTCAGAGGAAGATGCTGCTGCTGTAGCCAGCCTGCAGCGGATTCACAATTGGATTTGACAATATATACCTCTAATATTTCTACTTGTTCTCCATGTCTTCCCACCCCAAAGCACCAATCTCCCCTACTCCAGCTCAGCCCCAAACCTTGCTGTTCAGCTCCCACATTAGTGAAACCTAATCCAGGGCAGAGACCTGTAAGAGGACACAGCCAGCCTAGCTGGAGAGTGCTTCCATCTCTCCTTCCATTGCTCAGCCCCTCTGCAAACACAGCCACTACATTTTTGCTGCATTATCTTGACAGGGGAGAAAATCCCCATCCATTTATCAATGCTCTTTCCATCTGTGAGAGCTCAGCATGGGCTGGTGCATTGCTGCGGTGCTGCTGCATCCCATCAGTGCTCTGAGCCCAAGTGATGCTCCCAGTGAGCCTTGGGTACCGCCTTGGTGACTGGAGTCACAAGTTCATATGATTAGACCCTCCCTCCATCACATTAGAGAGCAGGGAAGTAAAAGCCAAGGCTTATTTATGATCTTCTTCAAGTGGAAAGCAGAAGTGACCCATTATTAGTGGAGATTTTTCAAGCCACCCAGGAAGAAAAGTGATATTTAGTCATCGTTAAAGCTCATAACTGCATAACAATTTCATGCTATGTTAACTTTGAGGTTTTCTTTTGCATATAAATTTTTAAGGAGTAAAATAGAAAAACCCAGGCACTTGACCTTTAATCACAGTTATTTGTGTGATCAGTCAAGTGTGGGGGAAAGCCAGTTTGTGCTTGAAAGATGCCCTTTAAAACTAGATTGCTCTAATATGACACACAACTCACATGGTGTACTATATGGGATCTCACTTACCAGCCCCTAGGGTACAACTGCCTGCCATTTAGTATTCACGGGCAGGATCTTGCTGCTGGTACCTTGGAAGGTATTAACATCGTGGAGCAAATCAATACATCCCCTTGGGAGAGCTCCATTCACCTCCGAAACCCAGGGGAGGTGTAGGTGTTCATGTCATCGAAGAACCAAACAGGGAAGAGTGCATGGAGGTGTATGGAGGGTTTGAGGTTAGAGAGATGCTTCGCTAGGAGAAGAGGATGTCATGCTAACAGAGTACAAAGCTTTCCCACTTATCTGAAACATTATTCCAAGCACTAATAAGAGCTTAATATTAGAGCAGCCAGAGGGTGTTTTAATTATGATTGTGAAGTATCGTGTTGTTTGGGGGAAAGGATCTCGGGAATGTTTCTTCTGCAAGACTGGATGACTGAAAGCCAGTGCTGTGGTGAAGGAAGCAGAGACGCCTTTTCAATTGAGACTATTGGATTAATTCCTGATCAGGCACAGGGAATGACAGGGACAGGCCTCTGAGCCCAAAGGCAGGCTGTGGCACAGCACCAGGGACATGGCTGGGGGGCAGGATAGAGGGATGCTGGCCCTAGGATGGCACAAAACCTTCCCCCCATCCTGAATGCTGCTGCATGAGCCTGGAGATGCCAGAGTGGGAAAGCAATATCCAGGATACCCAGGTTCCAGATTGCCAGGGGAGCTTCTGCAAAGAGCCAGGGCCAGCAGAGCCCTGGGAATGTGTAATTCACTGAGCTGAGCTATTACCTGCTCTAAGTGCAGACAGAAAGATAGGTTTGAAACCACAGTGAAAATAACCCTCCTGGAAAAACCAGAAATCAATACAAACACCAAGGAAAGAGGATCAGAATCCAAGACCATCAATTCCTGAGATAAAGAGTTGGAAGTCTCAGTGGGAGGACAGCCAGACCAGGCCTGGAAAACAAAACTTGGTTTCTTTTGCTGACAAATGACTTCTTATGCTAAAGGACAAAGGAGCCGGGAGGATGTGGGCCTTGGGATGTGGCTTGAAGCAAGCAGAAACCTCACAGAAGCTTTTGCACCTTCCTCTTCCACACGTGAAAGGATTTCCTTACCACAGGGAACAAGGGGCTTGTGTGATTTCATGCTGGTTTGGGCCCGGCACAAAAACATGCTCCAGAACAAGGTTTGGAGTTACTGGTGTGACACGGGTGGAGGCAGAGCACAGACAACAGCATCAAGGCATCTGGCTTTAAGCAAACATCCCACTGAGGAAAGCAGCTCAAATGAACCGCACTGGGTACCAGTAGCCCCTCACCATCCCACTGCTGATCCCAGGGCTCAGACACCCCTTCCCTGCTCCATCACAGCCAGCACCATCCCATCCCTGCCCCATCTCCTCTCTGCTAACTGGTAGAAATCACAGCGAGGAGGGAAGTTGGGCTGCAAAAGGGGAATACTCTGTGGATTAACTCCTTTTACCTCCCGAGTTGGGAATCAAAGCAAGCAGAGCTATGCATTTGTTTCTGAGGGCTGCATTTCCCTGTCAGATGTGGTGCACTTTGCTTCAGGATCGCTGCGCTAGAAATAGTTTGCAGCAGCTCTTTAGCTTTTAAGGTAATCACATAAAAGATCCTTGCCTACATAACGGCAGCTAATCTGGGTAAATGCCTTGAAGCATCTTTACAGTTCCTGCTAATGGATTCCCAGGCAGCCCACAGAGGTCCACGTCCTAGCAAATAACGTAAAACACAGCAAATGTCTCATTTTTGTCAATGCCTCCCATTCGTCATACACTGAGAAAACCCAGAGCTCCAGGCAGCACAAGATCATTATACTTATATAAGTAATACTCCGTCCTGTCATCATCAATAGGAAAGCAGCCTTTCACTGGGGGCAAGGATCCACTCAGCATGAAACTCCAACTCAACCGGA